AAGCGACGACATCTACTACTAACTACATCAAATATCCTGTTTCTACGCTCACTTGGATATCATGTCAACAACAACAAGAATCATGTACAAAAAGAGAAAAACTGAGGAGGCAGCAGCAGCAGCATCACATACTTCTCCGATGTTTGATCTATATCGATCTCCAGCATTCGATGAATCTATTCGCAAGGCTGAGTATAGATCTTATACACCGTTCATCAAGTCATTTAATTGTAATGATGTTGTGGAATTTAGCATCAATCAAGTAGATTCGTTCTTTGCAATGAACGCTTCCCTTCTATCTATCAAAGGAAAAGTTGAAATAACTGGAGGAGGAGGAGCAGGAGATGTATCTTTAGCTCCAAACTTTGGTGCCTTCCTATTTGACTCTTGCACTTACAGTGAATCCGCTAGAGAAGTTGAAACAGTACGTGATCCTGGTATTGTAAGTACTGTCCGAGCTTACGTATGTTACAGTGAGGAAGACTCAAATCATATGGCTATAGCTGGATGGAACTATCCTTCAACACCTATAATGGCGTCAACACATAACAAGTCTTTTAGCTTGCTAATGCCGCTTAAACATATTTTCAACATTTTCAATGATTATCCTATGATTACGTGTGGCAGACAAACTCTCAGATTTGTGAGAGCTAGAAACGATAACGATTGTATCATTATCAAGGAAAAAACTGGAACGACGACGACAGCGAAAATAACTATTGAAAGCATGGAACTGAAAATCAAACATATTTACCCGAGTGATGATGTGAAAGAACAACTTTTGAAAGCTATTCAAACTGATAAGCCGATACTTATACCGTTTAGAAAATGGGATCTGAATGAACTGCCTGCAATTACCGCAGATGCGAGAAGAGAAATATGGTCAGTTAAAACTAGCACCGCAATCGAAAGACCACGTTTCATTATAGTATGTTTCCAAACCGGTAAACGTGACGTCGCAACCTCAGACCCTACCCTGTTTGATCACGTGAATGCTGCTAGTATTCGAGTATCTTTAAATGGTGAATACTATCCCAACGAACGTATGCAATTGGACTTTGCAAACAATCACTTTACTGAAGCTCATTTCAACTATAGCGACTTTCAAACCAGCTATACAACTTCTTCTTCTCCTCTGAAGAGATGTCTTTTAGATTATACCGCTTTTAAAAATCGCGCTTTGTTTGTTATTGACTGTTCCAAACAAGAGGAAACCATGAAATCATCAACTGTTGATGTTAGATTGGATATCGAAGCCGATACTGGCTTTCCAACCAACACCAAGGCCTACTGCATCATTATACATGACTGCTTAATCGAGTACTTCCCCCTCACCGAAGTTATTAAAACCATCTCGTAAGCAACGAAGGACTCTCAGTTCCGCATCAGACATCATGAGGATCGCGTTTGTTGACATTCAAGGCTTTACAGTTGACGGATTATTCGTACCTAAAGAACTATGTATCGAAATTGGTTTCAAGAAAAGTCATTACATCTTTACACCTCCGCAACCTTTTTCTACATTAAATACTAAAGACAAGAAAACTGTCGCTTACTTGGAGAAGAATTTCCATGGGCTTAAATATTCTTCCGGCGACGTTAAATATTCCAAGTTAAATGAAATAATTAAAAATAAGGTGATATATGCGGCTGACTATGTCTACGTTCGTGGAGAACAGAAAGCAAACTTTTTACTCAAGAAATGTCACATTTTTGGTGTTTTTCCCAACATTATTGATGTTTGCAAGTATGATGGTACACCGTGTGCTACTGGAAACTTTGTTGCTGATTCCAATCCATGCCACACCAACGGACAATTTTCCTGTACCCAGAGAAATGTTGAACGTCTACGCCACTGGTTTTCAAATATCATATTACCTATGTAGTTTTTTTCTATTTTCAATAAAATATTAAACGTATTATTGTAGTTTTATTGAAAATACCTCTGGTTTGCGAAATAATTGTCAGAATGTCTATACTATTTTCATTTTGAACGGTATCATCCTGTATAATAATAACAGTACATCGTATACAGGTTATGAGACATTCTGACCGACCGACCGACCGACCAGAGGAGCCCACCACGCTATTTAGGTCACGCCTTGCTATATACGATTTAACGATATACCGTCGGTCCATCGATCCGCTATTTTTCGATGCACCCCTGTATACACGTTGCCCCCCGTAATCCACGCCAACACCAGACAGGTGCGACATCGGCGCCATCTATGCGCGAGATGCCCAACCCATCAATGGCAGCTGTCCAATGACGCATAGATTCCGTTAGGTTTGTACACCGCCAAACAAATCTACGCCATTTATGCGCGAGATGCTCAACCCATCAATGACAGGTGTCCAATGACGTATGACAGAGACGTGTAACGCCATCTATGCGTGAGATGCCCAATGACGCATGACAGGTGTCCAATGACACACAGATTCCGTTTGGTTTGACAGCGCCATCTAGCGGCGGAATCCCCAACTCATGAATACAGATTCCGTCCAACAACCTGTCAATGGCGCGCGACGCCAGCGCCTCTGGTGGCGGATTTTGGAAGTTTTGAGACCGAATCCCCATAAGACATCTACTGGTATACATTCGAATTTTGAAGAATCATTCCCATTACGTTCTGCAACCAGAACGGAAAAACCGAAACAATTAAAAAATCAGTTAATTGGACAACAGACAATGTTTCTAAAAACAATCGACAAAAGTAAGGCTGCAGCTGAAGCATCCTACCGGGTGTCCCAGATAATTCACAAAAGAAACAAAAGAAGAAACCTTATGAAGATGGGCAAACGATAAGACAGGCGTCTTTAGAAGCTGCAGATTCATTATTTATTTGCCAACTTTAGGAATAAAGACGAGATAGTATCTACTATAGAATCTATGAAACTTTCTGTTAATACAGTTATGAGACGAGTAGAAGTAATAAGTAATGATGTAGTTTTACAGTTAAGAAATGACTTCGATAACTGTGTTTATTTTTCACTGCCGCTGGACGAATCCACAGATGTCGTTTACACCTCTCAGATGGCCTTGTTCGCCAGGATGGTTTTTAGTGATTTTACGATTGAAAAAGATCTTTTGAAGTTTATTCCACTAGAAGCACACACTACTGGGCAGGACTTGTTTTCGTCTATTAAAAATATTGTTTCTTCTGAGAAAACTCCAATATCGAAAATGGTAGGCTTGACAACCGATGCCGCTCCAGCTAAGTCTAGTCGTAAAAAATACATATTTGAAATCACTTAGACCTATAACTAATAGAACATCTGAACAAATAAACAATGTGCGAATAAATGCGCGAAGTTAACAAAGCAACAATTTAAAGATTACCATTGGGTAACATCACCTTTATTTTTTATTACGGCTGAAATCCTTTGGGGCATAGTGTTAACCAAGTTTTGGCAAAAATTTGGTGTAAAACAATCCCATATTTCTTGAAGCATTTGTCTCAGTTCTGTGATTGTACGAGCAGGATGTTGTCGTAGAACATTTTTCATCTCGTGCCACAAAGTTTCAATAGGTGACAGATGTGGACTGCTAGAAACCCATTTCAAAAATGGTACATTATTTTCTTCCATCCATTTTATAGCCTTTTTTGAGGTATAGCACGCTGCACCATCTTGCTGAAACACAAAATCTTGGCCGGATGTCAAACATTCTTCCATCACTGGTAAAAGCCATTCTTCTAAAATTGCCAAATATTTGTTTGTATCCACATTTCCATCAATAAAATGAAGTTTTCCTACTCCTTTTGATGACATACTGCTCCAGACCATAATGGATGCTGGAAATTTCACTTTTCTTTTCAGATAGTCAACATGGAATGCATTTTTTTTGCGAATAACTCTACTGCGACCACACAACACAAACTTCGAATCGGGCCTCATCACTCAATTGTATTGCGCGCCATTGTTGAGGTGTCCATTGTCTATGTTCTTTAGCCCATCTAAGCCGATTTTTCTTTTGCAGTGGAGATAAAAGAGGCTTTTCTTTGGCCTATAAACAAGTTGTGCAGCTTTAGGGTTTTTACTTCACTTTTTTTTATAAGAAAACTTGCCTTGCAAGTGCTAAATCCCAGTTTGTGGGCCTCTCTATGAGTTGTGGACCTCGAAATGCTCCTTCCAACAGCGTCACGCCACAGAGCACTTAATTGTAACTAATTGGCACGCCTGTTTTTCACGATTATTCTTCTCAATGCTCTTCGGTCGGCATTTGTGATATTACTTTTTTCACATATCGTGGCTTAATATTAACTGAACCAGTTACGTTATATCTTCTAACAATATTTCTCTTCTTCTAACAAAGTTGCAACTTCTGAGATTGATTTCCCAGAATTAAAAAATTTAATCATCAGTAACCGAATTTTCTCACTAATAACCTCTCCTTTACCCATTTTGAAAACTTTAACTACCCAAAACTATTTTAAACGTATTCCGTCAGCTGTTATTAATAAAAACAATTGTCATGGCTTTTATTTTTCACAGCCACCTATGCATTATAGACTTACTTTGCATTGAAATGAAAATAGGTTGATATGCTGTAATTGAAACATGGGTTATTTTTATGCTGCAAATTTGATTAGGGAGTTATAAAGTTGGTGTTTTCTACTATTTATTATCAAAATATTCATTGTTGATGTTTTAAACCTATAACACCCTGCTACATTTTTGTTATTTGTGTTTGATAAGAAAAAAACTAAGGTTTCAATAGTTGGGCCAACTGAAGTGGGAAGGGGCTCGTACATATGTCGCATACAACTGCGTATAATTTGATTTTAGTTGGCTTACATTGCTTACGACTACGTAGCTCACTGTTTATTCCAAAATTATCAAAGTAGCTCAACACACTGAAAAGGTTGGCGACCACTGCTGTAAGCCATATGGCTATATTCATATCCGTCGTCAAAGTTACCCGAAATGACGGGGAACATTGAGTTTCTAGTGATGGATGCTAAGTCGATGTATTGTTCGACGCGTATTTTGGCAGTCCAATGCATTTTTTCATTCTGAACCCTAGAGCCCGATGGTCAACAAAAAGGATTGATTACGTAAAAAACATTCTTGAATGTCATGTATTTATATTTTTCCAGAACGATATTCATCACCAAGTTGTGCCAGACTTCATACCTTCTCGCGTAGTACCTTCAGCATACGTCAAGCAGTTGTTGCCTATCCCAGTTGTCAAGTCGCCATTGATAAGGTATCAAAAGCCTGCGATTAAATACACGTCTGCCATAGGTAAGTATGGATTATTTGGGATTTTTAAAATATCAGCGCTCCATCTGTGTAACTCTCATTCAAGTGCAGTACACAATATGCACAGTTTTAGCGACCTTTTTATTATTTGATACGATTAATACAAGTGCAGACACGGAATATCTGTTTATAAGTTCTTACTAGTCCATTCTTTTAGAGATTAGAAATTTGTGGTCATGTAGTCTTTATTGGCATTTATACTGGTCTACTGGGTGACAGAAAAAAGGAACACCCAGAAATAATTAATTCCTCGCAACAATTTTTGATATACTATACATGTATTTTAGGGTTAGTTGAAAAGTTTTAAAAAAATCAGTCGCTGAAAAAACTATACAAAATAATAACTTGTAGCGCCACAATGACTTATGCACTCAGAACATGTCAGAGCATTCTATTAATCACATGATCGATTTTCTATTGAGGAATCTCATCCCAGGCTACTTTAAGAGCCATTGGAGTCGGAGGTGGGTGTGCTAAATGGAGAAATATTCTTTCTATAATGTCCCAGACGTGTTTATTGGCTGAAGTATCGAAATATACAAATCCGCTTGATTGTCTTCAAAACGGCCCAACATAATTCTGGCTATATGTGATCGCCTATTATCTTGTTGGAAAAGTTGGTTGGTACGCGTCAGTATATAAGGCAAACATGCGCGTCAGTATATAAGGCAAACATGGGATTCGCTCATCTCCTGGATGTAATGAACGACAGTTATTTTGTCTCTGATGGACATTAAATATAAACTGCTTTTAATGCCAGTAACCACCGTCCAATGATTCCAACAGTGGTGCAGATACGTTTCCAAACAAAATTGAGAATGTCCTCACCACCTTCTTAAGCTTGCACGGCTATCATGCTTCCCCAAATATAATCTGGATTCCACAATAAAAAATATTGTATTCCATTCACTTTTTGTTGCATTAGAATACTTTGCGCCATCTAGTTCAATGTCGTTGAAACTTGCAGGCGTACTTATACGTGAAAGCAGGACTATTGTAGGCGAACCTAGTTGAGTAGCAGAGTTCAGCATACTAGGATCAGTACTGCTTTTGATATTTTTTTAGTACAGCTCATAGTGCCATCTTTCAAACGTTTTGAAACTTGAGGATAGAACCTAAATATGACAGCAAAACTATCGTGTCATTCGAAATCTTTGTTACTATTTGATCGTATATTAGTATATGACTCAACAGATGGCAGCAGCTACTATACACAGTATAACTCATTTTCACAAAGTCGTACCAGGTAGTACCCGTTGTGCCACCTATGATTTAGACAGTCAGTTGCGAGTCTGAACATCGTACTTTCACCCACGCGATATGTATTCATTCACACAGAACATGTCAGTGTACATCTACACCTCTGTAGATGTCGGTACTTACAACAATTTGAGGAAAATAGGTACTCTGAAAAATAGTACCAGCTACAGTGTAGATACCTAGCGACTATCAGTGAGTACCTGATATAATGCGAGGGGTGCACAATGTCGCACAAAATGATTGAACTCAGACAAATGCCTATGGTGGTGGCTTTTAGTAGGTACTTATTATTTGAAAATCATCCTTTGTGGTGGTACTACAGTTACAACCAGATCTCAGGAAGACTGCTACTTGAATCGGCAAGAAACTTTATTTATGATTTCGCTGTTAGAATAGTATAGTGGTACCAGTACCCTTTGGTATCAGTTTCAATGATCTTGCTTTATGAATATGTGTTACCCGACTAAAAAACTAGATACCGTATATCGTTTCCGTCCCCCTGGATTTCCAAAAATTTTGTGGTACAATACTTATCTCTGCCTAACCCACAGGTCTTCAAGGTGACTGGAAATAATTATAGAACAAAAACATTTTTATGAGCAATTTTAAGTGATCTACCAATCATAACAGGTCCTGTTTGGTTCTAGCTTTTTCATTTTAAGCGAGTATCTACATATAATCCTTCCCTATCTTTTGTGCCTTTTGTGTTTGTTTTGTGTCGTCTGTGACTTATATAAAATTTTTCAGTGAAAAAATATTATCTCATATGACAATAGGCGTAAAACTACTGATTGTCTATGATATGGAGTCATGCATTGTTTTTTAAAAATAATTAGGTGCCTTGTTGATATCACAGTATAGGATTCACTTTTATTTGAATTATGTCTATAGATAGATAGATATTGTTTATCCAATTGATCATTGAAAATGACATTGAATTCGTCAGAAAACATATACATACAAGAATATCAGTAAAGGAAAAAAATGAAATTTACATCACTGAAACCTAAAAGTTCTTAGAATTCAATAAAAACAACCACACTATAGAAACAGACATACCACATGTTTATAAAAACAAAGGACATATTGTAAAATATACGTAATTATAAAACAATACAAAATATAACGAATTAGGAAGCTAGCGGTTAAAATGTGAGGAAAAATAGAATATAAATAACAGACTGGATAACAAAATTAAAATTGATAGAAGGTAGATTAAATGAAATACAGCAAAATGAAACAGAACTTTCGTATACATTTTAAGAGCATTTACTGGTATAAGATATTAATTGATAATCGTTGGCGTCGGACCACAAAACAGTTGCGTATAGCAACCCTGTTCTTAGCTCTCTGTTCTGCATCAGAACGACAAATGAAAGAATAATCAAGGGTATAAACAAGGAATAATCGCGGTTCATCTCTTAAAAGTGCACTGTCAAGACAAATCTAGAGACGTCTTTTGTGTTAAAATCCATCGAGCTGCTTGAAATACGAATAGGAAAGGTTGATTTTCTTAAATCTACTATTTTGTTTTTATAATTTCACTCGCACTGGTAAGACAAATCTTCTTGGCCACCCACATACATACGCACAAAAACGTAAACCTCCTTCTGAAATAGTAGGGTAATAAAAAACTATATCGTTTTTGTGCTGCATATTGGAACTTCCAAACCTTTGGGCAAGAATAATTATTTGCATTGAGAAGTCCTTGGAATATGGAAGAACCACTGCGTTAGCGATAGCTCCTAGTTCAGAGATCAGAAACCGAATTGGCAGACCAGAATGTTACTATGATAATTTGAAAAATACTTTGAGAAATAAAAGAATCTTGGGTATCATGAATGACAATATATAATAATAATTATTATTATTAGTTACTCCTTAAACACAATATAAAGAATCAGTCAATAAATATGAAGCAATTGAGGTATTGCTTGTATATGGACCATTCATGTTGCAATTGTGTGTGAAATACGAATAAAGATAAAACTAATCAACGAATTATCTGATGTTTACATTTACTATGATTCAATCTGTGTACGTCTGATCAAGCCAGAGAAAAAAATCCATTTCCAACTTTTTCTTGAAATTATTCCCAAAGCCCTTTATATCGTTAGGTACATTTACGTATAATTTTCATTTTTGACTGTTTTGGTCGCAAGAATTTCATAAAAATTGAAGCATAAGGCTGATGTGTAAGAAAAACTTTTGGGCATGAAGTGTCACAGAACTCATGTTTGAAGGTTTTTGCAGTTACTTCCATTATCTATGAGGAACTAAAACTACTGTTACTTACATTACTCAATACTTATGTAATATCTGTAATATCTATCTCATAAAGAAACATTGTCTTAATTCTAATTCACCGCATCCGCACACATAAGCAATCTAATAAAATACATAAAATATTACCTTGATGAGGTAATTACTAACATGATAACATTTATGCGGATCCCATATAAAACGAAGATAAAAAATAAAAGAATTTACCAGTTGGAATGTAACATAAAATCCTGTTCCTTAATTTGAATATTTAGTATCCGGAATAAAAGAAGTGTGTACTGCAAATGTCAGACCGCATACTAGGATACGTTTAGTCATGAACACTAAATGCAGTCTATTAGCTCAATTTTTACGGTTTGACTATAAATAAAGATATAATTGCTGCTAATGGGATTTATTTTACATCCTATTTCATGAGGTAATGAAAACCACTAATTTGATGTAAAAATGAAGGTGGTATTGTGAAACAACGGGTTGGTAGAAGTCTCGATAATTGTAGAAATTTGGGGAGGCGAACTTAGTAGCTATGCCGCATTTGCCATTTTTGCATATTCCAGATACCAACACTAAAAGTAACAGCACGAGGTTAAAACTTAACTAACAACCAAACACGCTAAACTCATATCGGACATCGGACCTTTCACCAAAGAGCCCTTCATTTTGGCTGGTCGGAATCCAGATAACCAAGGACCTCATTCGAAACGATCACATCTATGGAATCGCGGCAGTTTACTTGTGAAGAGCTAGGCAAATTGTTTAGGGCTAAAAAGTACTTTTCTCGACATAATCTCCTCACTATGTAAAAGGCCGAGATAAGACCTAGCCATGAGTAGTCTACTCGTGTTTGTGGTGCTGCCACCCTCATAATCTATGCTCGATGCTGTTCAGAGCAGGGCTGTCTCGGGGCCTTTCGCACCGACGGCCCGTCGGCGATCTAGCTCTCTTCTACCGTTATGACAACAAGCTTTGCTTCTCAGAATTCTTCTCCATGAGTGGGCAAGCAAGGTGTCTCTAAGCTCCTCATAGCAGCCGTTGTGCTCTTGTAATTAGGCTGCTTCTGTACTCAAAAACCTCTACTTAGCCTTGATGCCTCCAGAATGGTATTAACCTTGCATCAGCTAATTCTCAATCTTGTTTCGGCGCCAATACAAGAGCCTAGTCTAGCCAGATCTTTACCTGTTACATCAATATGCCCAGGCAACTCATAGTTGGGTCAGGACTCTTCCTTAAGCGAGCCTGAAGACTACCGACCTCACAGACGCTAGGTTATTTATACTGTTTTGTATCGCTAAATATACGACCTTCAGGCACACTAATGGAGGGAGAACGTTCCCGCTATGTTTGTTGTTGGGTAGGTTTGTCAGGAGTAGAAAAAGCACGTGGGCTCGCCTCCTCGACCCGCGCAGTGTCCACCGTGACGATGTCGGAGCAAGAGGTAC